AATGGTACCCCCGTACGAGCCCGCCAAAATTTTTTTAGGTAAGTTCATAACTCGGGGATTTGAAAAGCTAGAAAGCTGAAATCTTAAGATGATGTTCCCCGTCCAGGTGGGTATTAGTGGGCTCACACCCAGCCTCCGGGTAAGCGTGGTACCCACATACGGGCCCGCCGAAGTTTTTTTCGTGTAAATTGATAACTCAAGTACCTGAGAAGCTAAAGAAATGTAATTTTAAGAGGATATACCCCGTCCACCTAAGTCTCATTCAGCTCGAACCCAGCTCTCAGGTATGCTTGGTAAACATGCACAGGCTGGTGAAAATTTTGTTCCAGTAAATTGCTAAGTCAGGTGCCAGGGAAGCTAGAAAGCTGGAATTTTAAGGGGATGTTTTCTGACAGTTCTGGCGGGCAGTCTCAATTTGTTTAGCTAGAAGCATTTGCCAAAAAAACCGGCGCCAGTAGCAACAAAAATTGCGGGGAACCATGCAAAAAACGCATCTTCGCACAGGCAGCCCGTGCGTTGGCCAATTATTTTGTTCTTTGGAGCATTTGTGGCTGAAATTTTCCTGGAATGAACTGCTATATGCATGCAATCTGATGGTGTTTTTTTGTCCGATGATGGTTTTTTTTTTTGAAGGATAATTATTTCAACTACTTGAGTCAGCTAAAATATAACCTGCTTCTCCAGCTGTGCGGCTAGCATTCACCAGCTGACCTTATGGTCAGCTTATTCATTTCGTTTTCTGATAAGTGGGGCTTCCCATTTTTAAATAGTAATTTCTGATTTTAGATTCAGACGTTTCTTCTTTTTTTGAAAGCATTTTTAAATAATTTTTTTAGATACGACAACTGCGTCGAAATTTGCAAACATTTAGCAGTCACTCGAATGTGAGCAGTCAGTCGGATCAAAGTTTCGACAGTGCCGATTCACCACAGCAGTCGCAGCTCTCTCCGTTTCATACACCTGCTTCTGCCTCTGCATCACAGCAAGCCACGAATCCCGGCAGTCCATCAGTCGAGTCCTTCATCAGTCCATCGCATTCAGGATTTTCACGGTCGTAACAGTTTTTTCACACAGAGCGTTTTCATGTCCGCAATTCATTTTCTACAAATATCTTCTGTAACCTTTCTATCTGGAAGGAATAAAAAATCACTTTCAAATCACTTTCTTTTGATCTGCCTGGTAGATCATGATCCACCTTTTTGATCTACCTGGTAGATCATGATCTACCTTTTTGATCTACCGGGTAGATCATGATCTAC